GTGGCATCGACCATAGACAAAATATACCCTTGAAGGGTGTGTTTCCAGCGACTTACTTCCTGCACTTATACCCCTCCTGCAATTTCCAGCACCTTCCAACAGCCCAGTACATTACAAATCCTCATGGGTAAATCGACCTATAATGTCAGGGCTCTGGGAGTCCAGTTGTCTCATGAAGGTCCCGACTCTGTGTTTGGCAATAACCTTTCAACACACATGCTTTGGAGCACTTTTAAGATCCTAACAAGAATGGAGGATCAGACAGAAGTTTGTGCTGAAGTGTCTAAGATGGGAGAGGAAGTATGACCAGGCCAGTGTTCTGCCTGTTCCTTTTCTCAGGTGGCTTGTGCTGCACTGGCTCTGGCTGGTGAACTGCTGTCTCTGTGATCATCTTTCTCCATGAAGATCACACTGCAGACACACCTTCTTCTACCTAGGGAATCTGAGGCAAGACTGCATTAGCTCTCCTCTGCATGGAGCACCTCACAGAAGCCTAGTGATGCTACTGTAATTGACTACACATGGAGCAAGGAACCTTCAGGACCTCCCAAATTTCAGCCACATATAGCATGTTGGTCCCCACCTCTCCATCCATGTTAGTTGTTCCAAAATGTATGCATACATAGGTTGTCTCACAGACTTGTTTATGTATCAATTTCACACATGGATTCCATGTATGCTAACCGCTCTCACCCCACCTCCCTACCATCCGTGTCCACCTTTCCCACTTCCCATGAACCACCCTCTCATGTTCATGACTATTCATTCTGTTTTGGGAGCCACTGAAATTTACTAGGCTCATCTTTATAATCACGGGTGTAGACTCTGGTTGCCTCAATATTGGAGATACAACTAAAGACAGTGGTTTTTCCCCTCCCAGAATCTATCAATAGCCAATAGTTCAGAGGTGAAGGATAGGTCCTCATCCCTTTCCTTGACTGTTGATAAGGTCAGCCATGTACAGTGCAGTGAAGGTAACTACAGATGTTTTAACTACAATCACGAATTAATGATTTCAAGGGCTGTACTGAGTGTAGAGAATGGCATTTTGCATCCCTTCCCACTGTCTTCTGGCTCTTGTGTACTTCCCTTCCTCTGTCCCCTCTTCTGCAGTGACCCCTGAACTTTAGAATAGGTGATGTACGTGATTGGTTTACAGTTGGATAGCAACCATCAAAGACTTTAGTGCATTCCCACTTGTGCCCTCATTTGCATCATCTTGAGCACTTTCTCCATTCCTCATGTATGCAGTGCAGAAGATGACAAGTTGTGCTCTGCAATGATAGTGAGGCTCTGGTGTCATTATCCTCAGATGTTTCAGTGGTCAGTGGGAATTAATGCATTTCTTGGTAATTCTGTTTGCAACACTTTGGTTCCATCTCAAGAGGCACCCAATGGTGTGGGGGCTAAATATTGTAGTTGCTTTTAGACTTCTTTGTCATCTGCTAGATTCTATATGTTCTTGTATTTTTTTGTTATTCAATGAAGTTCTGAGACAGCTTATGAGGCTTATAAGTTTTCTATGTTCCCCCTTCTCCTATCAATAAAGCTCACACTAATTTTTGTGTGTGGGGGACGGTTGAAGTGATTTGTTATTAAAGATCATTCCATGTAAGTAAAAAGAACTAAGTTCAGTCTCCTAGAACCTAAAAGAGGAAAAGTTGGATGTGATAGTGCATACTTGAAATCACATCAGTGGGGAGGTAGACACAGGTAGATTCCTGAGGTTCACTGGCCAGTATGATTTCCCTACTTGGCAGGTCTCAGGTCATTGAGAGACCTTGTCCAGAAAAGTATAGCAAGGGGCTGGCAAATGACTCAGGAGAGGAGGTATTTGCTCTCAAGCTTCATGGCTGGTGTTCTGTTCCTGGAACCTACATGGTAGAAGGAGAGAAGTGAATACCACAAGTTGTCCTCTGACCTCCACACATTCACTATGGCGTGATGCACCCACTCACCCCTTACAAATAAAGAAATGTTAAGGAAAATAAGGAAGATAGTACCCGAGGAATGACATCCAAGTTTGTCCTCTTGCTTCCACGTGCATGCACACACAAATGTATGCATGTATGCAAATGTGTGCATGCTCAGAAACACAGATATATTTTGGGCTTTGGTTGGAGGAGTGATTTCTTGGTGTGTGTAGGATGGTGGTGATGTTAAAGGTCATGCTTTGGATGTGACATTAAGGATTATGAGGACACAATCTTATCCCCTTTGAGCATTCTGGGTAACCCTAGGACCTTTGGGGGCTTCAGTTCCACACTCAACTACTCATGCACGACCTTGTTCTCCACTCACTGATGTGTTGTGGGCCAAGCCTACTGCCTGCTGTGGGGACAGAGTGATAAGTACAACAGCTTCTCTGCCCTTGAAGAGCTCACAGTCTTGAGATATGATTGAAAAAAAATGATTCATCAATTCAAGAATATTGGATTTCTCCAAATGTTACAGTAGGGAAAAGGATAATTTCCCCAAGTCTTTAAATTTGTTACCCATTTTAATTGATTTAATTAGGTAAAAATTCATAGAACTGTAATGCTGGAAGGAGCCCAGAAACCATTTATTTATTCCCATTTCTTCTCTCTGCCTTCAGGCCATGCTGTACTGAAGTAATCCACCAAACCTTTGCCTTCAGAAAGAGCAGAGTTTCCAAGAACTGTAGCTTGCTGGCCACTGAGATCAAGAAAATGAGACTGAAAAAAATTGACATCTGTAGTTATAAAGTATTTCTCTGAAAGAGATGACTAATCATGGAACCACTACACACACACACACACACACACACACACACACACACACACACACACACACCTGGTTGAGTAAAACAAAAGAATCTCCTGATTTTCTAAATCACTGTAATTAGAGGGCTGAGGGTTAACAGGATACAAATACCACTCCTTGTTAATATACACAATGGAGTTCCCATAAGTAATACTGCTGAATTGAGGCAGCATTAAGAACCTAGAAAAAAATGTTAAGTGAAAATGTGGTTATAATAAGATAAGGCCACCTTGGCAATTTTTTTTAGTTCCTGGAAGAAATATATATCCTAGCCTTGGCCAGATCCTGTTTTGTGAGGCATAGTTTTTGTTGAGCTTACATTTGTTTTATGTTCATATGGGTGGACACATGTATGTGCAGGTGTGTGTATGCACAGATGGATATAGAGGTCAGAGGAAAACCTCACCATTGTTCTCCAGGACCATTTTACCTTGGATTATGAAGGAGCAAGTAGGCTGGCCAGTGAGCTCCAGGAATGCCCCATCTCCATCTCCCAAGCACTGGGGTTACAGGTGCATGCCACATTCTCAACTTTCAAACAAACAAACAAACAAACAAACAAAAAGCATGTGTTCTGGTCCTCATTCCTGCAAGGCTTCACTAGCTAAGCTGTCACTTCAGCCCCCTGAGTTGTCACTTCTGTAGCACATTAACTAGAGTGACATGGCTTATGCATTCACCATGCACTGATTTTAAATGATCTCAAGAGTGCTGTGGCTGAAATGGCAAGGGAGACCCATTGTCTGGCATTCTCAGAACCTTCCTAGGTTTGGATATGTGGTTGCTTTATGACACTTTGATCACCGGTTTCCCTGCCAATAACACCAACATCATAGGACTGCTGTGGAAATTGATGAGTTAAAGAGTATGGTTGGTTATAAAATTGACAACCCTATAGTCACCTGCTTGGCCAAGGGGAACTTTTATGTATTTGGGAAGTTGTTGGAATCATAGTGGCCCCTTAGCTCTATACACATTGCCATGGTTTTATCAAAATACTTCCTAAGCCTTTGGATATAGTGTCACAATCTTTTCAATAGAATATCATTTTATACTAAAAAATGTAACCCATGACATGCTTACCTATTTCCCCTCTCCCTTGCCTTAATTCTGTATTTCCACAGGTCTCTCTCAGTCTCCAGTCCACAGTAACTTCTCTTTTCCAAATTTCCCTTACATCTATGACAACAGAGATCCTGCCATGCCTGTCCTGATAGTCATGATTTCCCAAGGTCTAAAGCAAAAGCAAAATGTTCTGCAAATTTTGCCAATCAAATGGGTAGATGGTTACACAAATTATCGTCTGTATTATATTGCATGAGAATATTAGGTTGAAGCTACGGAAGCCCTACTTGCACTAGCTAAAGTGAACATGGGACCTAGGTGACTCATTTAGCTGATGGTCTGGGGGCAAAGGCCTTCAGGTATGGCAATCACAGGAGCTCCAACTGTGCCCTTGTGAACCTTTCTGTACTTCCTGATGCTCCTTTGTCTCTGTTGACTTCATTTTCATGATATGACCCTGAGGATTGGACCACATTGGTGTTGTTGGAACTGTGTGGACAGAAATGTGTGGGGAAAGGGAGTCTAGAGGAAAATGAGAGAGGATGATGATGAACAAAATAGCAAACATTCTTCCTTGTACTGGCCATAGGCTTCTGAGCATGAATTCTTTCAAGTCTGCGTTTTCTGTACATGCTCCAGAGCCTGGCACAGATCAGCAGTGTTTATCTTTATTATTTGTGTGAGTATATGTGTGTGCATGTGTGTGTTCATATACATGTATGTGCCAGTGCACACATGTATGTGTGCATGCATGTGGAAACTAGAGGACAGCTTTAGGTATTATTCCTCAGGAACTGTCTACCTTGTTTTTAAATAGTCTTTTACTGGCTTGTAACTTGCCACATCAGCTTGGCTGGTTGGCCAGTAAGCTCCAGGTATCCACCTGTCTTTGGTTTTAGTGTGGTTTCTGGGGATCAAACATAGATACTCATGATTGCATGACAAGCACTTTACTGAGTCATGTCCCGGCTCTTCAGAAGTGTTCTGAATAAGGATATTTTCTCTGTTTCTAGAAAGGCCATCTCTAATTCTGCAAAGACAGATCACTGCATAGCAACTGCCTCTGGCCTCACCCTCTGCTTTTCTGTCTTCTTATATGTTGGCAGGATCCGACGTCCACGTTCTTCCAGTTTGGAGCATCCATCCAGCAGCAAGCCACGGTTATGCTGAAGATCATGCAGGATTATGACTGGCATGTCTTCTCCCTGGTGACCACCATCTTCCCTGGCTACAGGGACTTCATCAGTTTCATCAAGACAACAGTGGACAATAGCTTTGTGGGCTGGGATATGCAGAACGTGATCACACTGGACACCTCCTTTGAGGATGCCAAGACACAGGTCCAGCTAAAGAAGATCCATTCTTCTGTCATCTTACTGTACTGTTCCAAAGACGAGGCTGTCCTCATCCTGAGTGAGGCTCGCTCCCTCGGCCTCACCGGGTATGACTTCTTCTGGATTGTCCCCAGCTTGGTCTCTGGAAACACAGAGCTCATCCCCAAAGAGTTCCCATCAGGACTCATTTCAGTCTCCTATGATGACTGGGACTACAGCCTGGAGGCGAGAGTGAGGGATGGTCTTGGGATCCTAACCACTGCCGCATCTTCCATGTTGGAGAAATTCTCCTACATCCCTGAGGCCAAGACCAGCTGCTATGGGCAGACAGAGAAGCCAGAAACTCCTCATCACACTCTGCACCAGTAAGAGAGGGCTCTTTCATTGTTCTCCAAAGATGGGCCAGAATTTTGTTGCTATAAATGTTTGGGTTCAGTCATTGATGGAAGGATAGACTTGACATACAGAATGTATGCATTTACTTTGAGGAAGTTGGTTTTGATTTATGCTCATTTCTCTTTTCCTCTCTTCCCATCTCATTTAAAAATAATAAGTAACATAATGATACTTTTTGAGACACAATTTCATTATATAGCCATGGCTATTTTGGAACTTGACATGTAGCCCAGGCCGGCCTCTATCTCACAACCTTCCTGTAAATTCCTGAGTGTTGGATTTACAAGTAGTGCTGTAATATCTGGATAATAATTATTTTAGTGGCTTTCTGCAACTTGCTTTTATTTTCTTTACTCAAAAACATACCTTGGAAACACCCACTTTAGACTTCTGTCTCTCATTCTCTTTTACATCAATCATCTAGCTATCTGTCTATCTATCTATCCATCAACCATCTATCATCTACTATATATCATCTATTTATACCATCTCTCTATCATCTATCTATCTATCTATCTATCTATCTATCTATCACCTAGCTACCTATCATCTATCTATCTATTATCTATTTGCATGTCAGGTGAATTCTTTGTAATATCCATGCCACATTCTTCCATATTCATATACAATGATTTGTTTATTTATTCACTCTTTACAATCATGAGAATTCAGGTGTTTTTTTTGTTACAGTTTTTTCCCATTATCTCAGCTATCTCTTTTTGCCTGTATGCAACTGATTGTCTAGTTGTCCAGGGTTGGTTCTAAGAAGTGGAACTTGGGGGTCAAAGATGTGAGCATCTTTAAGTATCCATTGCCAAATGGTTCTACAAAACAATGGCACCGATTTTTATCCACACGACAGTTTGTGGAATCATCTGACATCTGACATCCTCAGCAAAAAGCTTGGTCTGATTGTGAACTGTTCATACTGATGCTCCTGGTACCCGGCTGAGTCTGAATTTCTTTTCTTCTTATATGCCAAGAATCTTTGTAGGTCATTGGAGATCTTGACGATCATCAATCTTAAAGCCACATTCCATTCTGCCATATGACTGTAGCATAATTTATTTAGCTGACCCATCATGGTGGGCATTTAAGTTAAATTTTATATTTCTGGGAGGTGTCATTATTCTTTGTGGCCTATCATTATGGCTCAGCTGCTAAGATTTAGAATGAGTATTCAGACATCCATTCTGCATGGTTTTGCCTGATGTTTATGATATAATCCGTGCTTCATTCCTCACAGAATGAACAATGTGGCACTGTGATTCAAGTTTGGACTGGGTAGTGATGCTGTCCATGTTCAAATCCTGTCTCCTTCACATTCTACAGGATACAGGCAATCACTTTCCCTTTCTGCATCTCAAGTGCTTGTCATAGAGTAATAATAATGGCTCCTGCTTTCCAGGCTGGTCATTCTCAAATGTTAGCATGTACTGAGACACTGGAAGGGCTTGGTGAGGTTTTGGGTCTGCACTCAGAATTTCTGTCATATTAGTAGGTCTGGAGTGAGCTCATAGAATTGAAATTATAACAAGTTCCTGGATGGTGCTGATATTGCTGCGATGGGGGCCACTCTTTGTGAACCAAGGTTCTGGGGTTTGTCATGAGTATGAGAAGAGGGGATATGATTTGTGATCAGGGATGCTTCTTAAATGCTGATATCTGCTGAGCATTCAATAAGCACCAGAGTTATCAGTGAAGTACGGCCCCATCCAGGATTGTAGTCAGCAGACCATGTTGGGTGCCTGAAGAGTATTGCCATCCTAAAACATCTCTGGAATACTGTGAGCTTGAATCTGTTACCTTCCAGTGTGTGTGTGTGTAGAGGTGTGCACATGCCATGACCTGAGTTTGGGGAGTCAGAACACATGTCAGCTGTCAGTCACCACCTTCCACCTTGTATGAGACAGTATATTCATTATTTTCCCACTGCAGTGCTGGGCTAGATGGTCCAAAAGCTGTTGTGCACAGTCCTGGCTCCATCCTCTATCTTTCTGTCGGTGGGATGAGAGATCCTCACATTGTACCCTTCTTTTATGTGAGTTCTAGGAAACTGGACCTAAGTGCTTGAAATTGTGAGACAAGTGCTTTAACCCACTGAGCCCAGGATGTACTTCTTCACAAATAGCCTACACCTGAGAAAAACCGACTGTTGAATTAAGAAATCAAGCTCATTTGACAATGCCCCCCATCCTATTTCTAGGTAGTTACATTGAGCATCTGAAATAATCATCTAAATATCAGAAAAGAACTCAGATAACTCAGTGTGGACGTGAGAGCTTCTTAGGAAGTCAGGCTGTCTGCCAGTCTGAGACAAGGGCTGGGCTAATGAATTCACACTCTCTTTAATAAGATGTGCCCTGCAGCTGGCAGACTTAGAAATCTATTATTTTGTGGGAAACATAACTCAATTATAAGGCAATTGAAATGTAATACATATACATATAGGAAAGGGAATTTGAGAGGGATAATTGCCAAGACATTCGGGTTCTTTTCCAGCGACCACCCTAAATTCCATTCTTTAAGGAGAGAAAAAAACAGACCCTGAGGCTTTGAAGTGTGGCTGTGCTAGCTCCACAGGTTTCCTTCAGAATGCATCAGCTTTGTAAATGGCATTCCCACCCCAGCGAAGCAGCATGCCAAGCCGAGTAGTTTGGTACCCACTGCCTCTGCGTATAAGATGTCTTGCCGTCCACACATAGGGGTGGTGGTGCACAGGCTGACTGTGAGGCTGGGCAGTGGCTCACCTTGGCTTCATCCTTCTCTTCTTGCCACACTTCCATTCCCTACAGTACTTTCACAGGCACCCCATGGAGGAAAGAGTGGAGCCCCACTAGGTTGTCTTTGTTTGGGAATTGGAAACACCACAAAGAAAGTAACTAAGAAGAACTGAGGGCACAGCATCCTTCTGGCTCCCAGCCTTCATTCCTCACACCTAGCAAATCTTGTGAGGGCTCCTGGAACATGCAGTGAAGTTAAGATGTGACTTCTGTACCCAAAGACCATGCAGCCTGATGAAAAAAGAAGTGTGCCCCAAAACAAACTCTGGGCATAAGAATTCACTTTGTGTGTGTGTGTGTGTGTGTGTGTGTGTGTGTGTGTGTGTGTGTGTGTGTGTGTGTGTGTTGTTTCTCTCTCTGCATGGGTTCCAGGGATTGATCTCAGGCCTTCAGGTTTGGCAGCAATTCCCTTTTCCCACTGAGCCATCTTGTTGGCTCAAGAATTCTTTCTTTTCTAAATGCTGAAAAAGACAGTGAGTGATAGAGAATATGATAATATACTCAGCCAATACTCAACACAGAGAATGAGGATGGTATGTCACGTTTGTTTGAACATTTTAAAACAAACAGTACATTAGTGGAAGTGTAGAAGTCCTGGTCACTTCCCTTTTCAATCTTTCAAGGGAAGGGAAATCCCTACAGTGAATTCAGTACAGGCAACCTGTTTCTGTGCTGACGTAGTTTCACTGAAGATTCCTGTGCAACCACATGCCCAATCCACAGTTCTTTCTTTCTTTCTTTCTTTCTTTCTTTCTTTCTTTCTTTCTTTCTTTTTTTTTTTCGAGACAGGGTTTCTCTGTGTAGCTTTGGAGCCTATCCTGGCACTCTCTCTCGAGACCAAGCTGGCCTTGAACTCACAGAGATCCGCCTGCCTCTGCCTCCTGAGTGCTGGGACTAGAGGCATGCGCCACCAACGCCCGCCTCACAGTTCTTTTCAACGCATCCTAGTGACATCTAGTGCACTTCAATCTACTTGGCTTCCACCTTGTATTTTCAAGATCACTGTGAAGATAATGGAATTCCAGTGTATTCATTTCAGCTGCTGTTTTTGTATTCTGCAATTCCCATGCTTCCTAGTTTCCTTCCAGTAGCTGGGCATTTAGATTGCTGATAAGGGCAGGACTTGGGTATCTGAAGGCAGTGAGCAGACAAGGCTCACTGGGTATATGCTCTTCATCAGTGGGAGTCAAGACACTTGAGCTAGAAGTTCCTTACTTCAGTTTTTTTTAAATTATTACATTTTCAACTGGAGAAAGCCTTAATTTGCAAAGCACCTTGAGAACAGATAGCTTTCCTTATTTTTACTCTGTAGAAGGGAAGATAAGGACAGCTTTAGCTGAACTCCTATCCGGTTCTTAGGATGAGTCATCAAGAGCAGCTTCAGCCAATGGAGACCTCCTTGGGGCTATCTGGGCATGTAACTCTGTGGCACCCAAGTTCACTGATTGTAATCTTAGAGTTCTTGCAGTTGGTGTATCGAAGTTATGTACTGTTGCCCAAGCTGTGCAAGGGGGCAGCTTTCAGTATGTAGAGTGTTCCTGATCTTACAATAGACCCATCTCTGCCCTTATGGTTTCAAATGATGGGGTGTAGAGAATGGGGGAAATTTTCTCCATGTTTTAATATTCCTGGTTTTATAGAAGATACTTTGAAAAGAGCAGTCAGCATTTTCCAAAGTTCAAAAATAGCTCAGCCACGTTATGCAACCTCTTCCTTGCTGCTGCAAAGTTATTAAACATCTGCTCCTTCACCAAGCACAGAGCACAGCGCACGTAACTCCCAGAATGCGAAGGCAAACCATGACCTGTTTCCTGGTGTGGATCCCAGGCTGTTCATCCCAGTTCTGTGCCAAGGCTCTGTCCCATTGAGGAGCAGCCAGGAAGGCAGCACCCTTAGCGGTGCCTTCCCTAGAGTCTGGGCTGCTGTGGCTTGAGCCCCTGATGTGTGTGGCTCCAGATCTAACACTCTGGGAGAGCCTCTCAAGTCTTCCATGCTGCTCTCTTGGAAGTCATATGGAGATAAGGAAGGCATGTGACTGTCTGGTCAGTGCCCCACACATGGACACGCAAATTATAAATGGAATGGATGCTGCTATAAGTTGAGCAGCCCTAGTCTAAAAATACAAAATATCAATTGTTTCAAAATCCAAAACTTAAATGCAGATATGAAACCACAAGTGGAAAATT